AACGGAAAACCCTATTGTTATATTTTATTAAATGATGGAAATAAATTCAATTTAAGAGAGAGTGTCATGTAGCGGAAGTAAATGCGATTGAAACCGTTAAGTCTTAAATATGTAATACGACAAAAGTGGGTTCAAGCCCAAAACGTTTTTCATGATTAAATAAGTAAATAATCAGCCGCACTGTCGCTCATCCGCCGCCCCGATCACCCAATCATCCGGGTCAGGCTCCATGGTCTTCTGGCCTACCTGCGTATAGCAAAGAAAACCACGCTATACGCTCAGCATAAGCTGAGTGGTAATCTAACAGTAGAATGCATAGTACATTCATATTGATATAAACATAATCGTACGTGTACTAAGTACGGGGTACCACACACAAGTTTGATGAATAATCAGTTACGAATAGACTACGATGCAATGCCAATTAATCATGATGCATGAGTTAGACAACGCAGGGACCCCTTGCCCTTCGGTGATCATCCCCACGCGGTGGATGAGCCGAGGAACGCCTTAGTCATCCCGTTGGAGACTAGAAATGTGGGTGATAGCCAAGCCTAGCTACCATGTACGTACACAAGCCCTCTATATGTGAACTCGCTGGACCCCGTAGGTTCCGGAACGGGCCCGCAGAAGAGGCGCACTGGCCTGACCTCTTGTCGCGGCATGCAAAGTATGCCATGATCCTAAACATGCGTCTAGGATATACATGATGATATGAAATGCATTGATTAGGTTATGTTCAATGCATACAACCATATTTGATTCCATATGAAAACAACTTATTCAACATGGTAGACCTAGGTTCAGAACTGGCCGACAATCGACTAACCACTGTTGATAATCGATTGTCATGCTGTGCAGTTTTTGTTCCCAAGTTCCGCAGGCGAACTCCATCAAACGGTAGGTAACGTTCCCAGCCATCCCCGAAGTCGATCGCGCAGGCGCGCATCATATCCTCGAGGATCTCGATAACCCTCTCGGACTGACCGCCCGTCTGTGGGTGGAAGGCCGTACTGAAATGTAGGTCGGAGCCCAAAGCTTTCTGTAGGCTCTTCCAGAACTTCGATGTGAACCGCGGGTCACGGTCTGAGATGATGGATGTAGGGACTCCATGTAAGCGGATGATCTCGCGAATGTACAACTCCGCCAAACGCTGTAAGGAGAAATCTCGTCATATCGGAAGAAAGTGAGCGGATTTGGTTAATCGGTCCACGATGACCCAAACCGTATCGTTCTTGCGAGGTGACAAAGGTAGCCCCACTACGAAATCCATGGTGATATGATCCCACTTCCACTCAGGGATCGTAATCTGTTGTAGTAATCCGCTCGGAACCTGATGCTCGGCCTTAACCTGCTGACATGTCAAACATCGCGTCGTAAACTCTGTGATTTCTCTCTTCATCGCGGGCCACAAATAATGCTTCCGGAGGTCCTTGAACATCTTGTTACTACCAGGGTGCATGGTATATACCGTACCATGTGCTTCGCGAAGGAGACGTTCCCTTACTTCCCCTGCTGGCACTACCACACGTTCCCGGTACAACAGAACACCATCCTCACGGACAACAAAGTCGGGTTTCTCGCCCCGAGAGACGTGTTCGCAGATCTTCTTGCAAAAATCGTCGCTCCTCTGTGTCGTCACAATCTCCCGCAACAATGTAGGCTGAACTCGGAGTACGGCTAGAGTTTTGCGACTAAGAGCATCGGCCACCACGTTCGCCTTACCAGGGTGATATGCAATATGGCAGTCGTAGTCCTTAATCAACTCCAACCATCTCCGCTAACGTAGATTCAAATCCTTCTGACTTAGAAGATACTGTAGACTCTTATGATCGGTGAAGATGCGCGTCGTCTCGCCGTACAAGTAATGCCTCCAGATCTTCAGAGCGAGAACGATTGCCGCCAACTCTAGGTCGTGTGTAGGGTAGTTGCACTCGTGCGGCTTCAACTGCCTAGACGCATAAGCTACAACCTTACCCTCCTACATAAGGACACACCCTAGACCATTGTGTGAAGCATCGCTGTACACCGTGTACTCCACTCCAGGAGTCGGTTGTACCAAAACGGGTGCCTGGGTCAAACACGCCTTCAGCTTCTCGAAGCTCTGCTGACACGCCTCGGTCCAGTCAAACTTCGCATCCTTCTTCATTAACTTATGGAGTGGTGATGCTATCCTCGAGAAGTCCTTCACGAATCAGTGATAGTATCCCGCCAACCCGAGGACGCTCCTCACCTCTCGTGCATTGCGTGGAACCTTCCACTCCGTGATCGCCGAGATCTTAAACGGGTCCACCTTCACTCCTTCGGCTGAGATGATGTGGCCGAGGAAAGTGACCTCGTGCAACCAAAACTCACATTTGGACAGCTTTGCGTAAAGTTTCTGTTCCCGTAGTATGCTAAGTACTGTGCGCAAATGCTCCGTGTGTTCTTCACGCGTCTTAGAGTACACCAAGATGTCATCGATGAAAACGACCACGAACTGATCAAGGTACTTACGGAACACACTGTTCATCAAATCCATGAAGACAGCCAATGCATTGGTCAACCCAAAAGGCATCACCGTGAACTCATAGTGACCATAGCGGGTGCGGAACGCTGTCTTCGGAATATCCTCCTTCTTGACCGGAATCTGATGGTACCCCAATCACAGGTCAATTTTAGAGAAGACTATGGCTCCTCTCAACTGGTCGAACAAGTCGTCGATGCGAGGAAGAGGATAACGGTTCTTGATAGTGACTTTGTTCAGCTGATGGTAATCGATGCACAGCCTCATCGAGCCGTCCTTCTTGCGAACGAACAGGACTAGTGCACCCCAAGGGGACACACTAGGACGTATGAAACCCTTATCTAAGAGCTCCTGCAGTTGAGTTTTCAACTCCTTCATCTCCGCTGGGGCCATGCGATAGGGTGTGATGGAGATGGGTCCCGTTCCTGGAACCAAGTCGATAGAGAATTCTACCTCCCTCAGGGGAGGTAATCCTGGAAACTCATCTGGAAATACATCTGGAAACTCGCACACCGTAGGGATTTCCTCCCGTCCAGGTGCCTCTAACTGCGTCTCGCGGACTGTGCACAGAAAATGTTGAATATAAGTGAGCCCTAGAGGCCAACTTATGATTCTATATCTATATTATATCAAGAATGATAGGCCCTAAAGATTGTTTAAGTCGTCTCGTGTGATTTAAACATAGCTTTAGTCCATAGAGTAGGCGCTCTAGTAACATAGATAAGAACTACGACGTTCTAATTATGAGGCTGTTACAAAGATAGAGGCTACGTCTAAAATATCCTTAGTCGAATATTATGACAATACGGACATCATAATATATCAAGACTAAAACGTATGAGATGAGATAGTTGCGTCTCATAGGCTATAGATAAAGTGTTATCTGAATCTATACGTAGGCAACCATATTGGATATGTTGCTGGATTGACCCGCTATGAGAATAATATATGGGTTTTGAGTTAAAGTGTTAATATTATTCTCATGCGACCATTAGTATAACTATCCTTTGACTTGAAGTCATTACATTCTTTGGTAAGTTGAGTTGTATACTTTGAGGCATGATTTATGCCATCTGAAATATTGGTGGATGTACAGTTATGTTTTGGGTATGCAATGAAACTTAAGCGAAGATGTGAATGACGTAGACAGAATTTATCCCTTCTTTAATGAAGTATAATATCTTAGGGCCCACTGATTGATGTGACTTGGGAAGTGCATGGCCATGCCCAAATAAATATGTTATTTGAATCCCACAAGTCAATCGAAGAATCAGTAAACCATCGATTTAACTTTAACAAGGTGACACACCCCATACATTGTGTTAAATCTAGATATTAGTGATAAAGGGATAAGGGTTATACAAATAGGATGTGTCGTTGAAGGAATTGTTCCAAGAGCTTTAATCTATAATTTGGGGGTGATAATGTGTTGCTAGATACCGCTTAT